AGTATTTGGACTAGTCTCGCAGGTTAGAAGGAGACCGTGATGGTTGGGGCCATTTTAGGGGATAATCTCATTGAATCTGGTTCAAGACTTGTTCCATGGGGGAGTTGAGGGGTGTGTATCAATTAAACCGACTAGGCGGTCGGGTTGGTGCCGATCGGTCGGCTTGGGGTGGTCGGTCGGTATGCTGAGGTGTTTGGTTATTGTACTGGGTGTTTCTGGTTTCTGAGTCCTTTCTCTTCTCTCTGGGGGTCGAATTTTTGGCTGTAGGATCTTGTCGTGCGGCTAGGGAATCTTCGACGTTCATGTATTTTTGGGCTTTGGAAAGTAGGGTTGTCATGGAGGTCGGGGGGTTTTTAGAGAGGGAGAAAAGGAAATCAGATGATCGTAGGCCGGCCATGAACGCCGTGATGATGACCTTGTCATCATTTTCCGCTATCTGCAGGGCTTCGGTGTTGAAGCGGGTGACAAAGCTGTGCAGCAACTCCCCCTCAGTCTGACGGATGTTGAGGAGCTGGGTTGCAAGACGCCGCTGGCGTTGGGCTCCAATGAAATAGATGAAAAAAGAGTCACTGAGGTGCTAGAAAGTGGAAACAGAGTCTGCTGGCAGTTAACTAAACCAGAGTCGAGCCGACCCCTTGAGTGTTACAGGGAAAGCCCGACACATGATTTCATCAGGGAATGCATGGAGGATCATGAGGGTTCTGTAGGTCTCCAAGTGATCGACTGGGTCCGATGTACCATCGAAAGAGTCGATCGTGGACATTTTAAACTTAGGAGGTAGAGGTTTGTCTCGGATGGAGGCAACGAATGGTGAGTTGGCTGTAGTAGATGGTTTATTCGATATATTCTGCATGACTCCTTGGAGCTGGAGCTTCATGGCTCGGAGTTATGCGTCCCAGAAAGGGACGTTGTCACCTCTGGACTGGAGCGGAGACTGGACGTTACTGGCCTCGCCCTTGGGGATGGGTGCCTGGGCCGATGGGTGTGGGACCCGAAGTGGAGGGTTCATATCTGGGGGAGGGGATCGCAAGCCTTCCAAGTTGGGTGGATGGGGTTGCTGGATAGTATGGCTCGGGGCTCGCTCTTGGTTGGGTGAAATATCTGGAGGTGGTAAAGGAGGCATAGGAAGGTTTCTTTGGAGTAGAGCATTAATCAAGGCTTGGTTTTGCTCGGCCAGGCGGTTGATGCTGTTGGTGAGCTCGGTGAAATACTATGGGGGGTTGTTTGGATTAGGAGGGTCGGCTTGGTGGTTGGCAACATTGTGGTGGGAAGCCATGGATCTAGTCGTGACCATCCACCTTGGTGGATAGCAGGAAGAGGTTATTGGGAAAGGGTCTCCGGCGGCAATGAGCACAACTGGCACGCGGAACAGAAAGGATTCTCACAGACGGCGCCAACTGATGATGCAACGTGTTCCAGATGGAACGGGTCGGACTGATCCACGCTTCCCAAACCAATGCCCGAGGTACCAAGCCCACCAGAAGACCTGCACAAGAGTTCAACGGGGAACGGGGAGTACCCCAGCGAACCCTCTGACGAGCAAGTTAGAAAGAGAAGGTAGAATGTGGAGATAGATTAGAGATAAAAAGCTTAACCTTCTTCTTGTCTTCAACATCTGTTTATATCATCTGATAATCATTTCGTTGTTCCTTCCGACCTGGCCTCTTTGCCGAAAGTCTACATTCTAGCTTACCTTGTTCATGGTGAGGCCGTTCTGTCTCGACAGGGAGGGGTTATCGCAATAAATGCTATAAGGGGCTTCATTAATGGCTGATGTACAGTGCAATAACTTTGCAGGATCTTTGTCTGCTTATGTGGCTTGTCCTTTACTTGCCACGTGTCTAGGTGTCATTGGTTCTTAATGCCATGTTGAGCTCCAGCAACGCTGGCCTTTAGTATTTCAGTTATGTATTGGGCCCTAAACGGTGGGCTATATCCTTTGTGGGCTTACCCGTGTCAATGATGTATTGGCCACTGAGTTCATGGTTGTGTGCGCACGTGCACATGGGTGTGGTGGTGTGTGGGTGAGAGAGAGAAATTTTATATTAAAGCACATGTATTTATGTATTTTTTTTTTATCTCTTTTGTCCTAAATAATGTCATTGTCTTAAGTCTTGTCTGAGGAGTGGCAAGTGTGTTTGTAATATAGAATCAAGCTTGTATACCTTGATTTCATTCTCATTTGTTGATTCTGAACTCAAGCATTATGTTTAAGATTAACACTTCAAATAAATAAATGCCAAATGGTTAGCATCATTGTGCATGTGCATGTGCATGTGCATGGCTAGGTATTTAACAAATAGATTTGATCATATGAATACTCAATGACAATTCCAAGGTTATAGAAAATGTCGATGTGGGTGGCATTGCAGACCAAGAAATGGGATGCCTCTGACATTATACCTCAGGCGTCTTTAGTATAGACAATTTTTTGAAAATAAAAACCTGGAAACGATAGGAAGCATTGAAAAACTGTGAAATTAAACATTCAATGGGATAGTTGAATGCCATAAAATATTTGAAGGAACTTACATGCACTTGAATAACTCAAAAATCAAAACATTACACCAAAAAGCACGCTGTAGTCATATATTGGTTAAATCTTGACATGTTATTGGACTCTCATCATTCTTAATTAACAAAATATTTTGAAATAGTTATGTAGTGCATATTGTGAGCTTTACTTGCATCAGACAATTAGCTAGGTCCCTGCTAGATTTCTGCGAACATGTTAACAACCTTGATCAGTTCCCAAACTTCCTCTTGTCTTTCTCTGGTTGTTTCCCATAGTGTGCCCTCAGTTATTGTCTCGTAGATCATAAGCAAGGAACTATTTTAGACATAAAAAGACTGTCTCTTCACTTCATCATTTTGTCAAGAAATGCAAACCACACTGTTTTGAGTGTTTTGAAGAATCATGGGAGGGATGCTATTTGATATGTCCTCAAGTTATTAGTCATTGCTTATGATTTTGAGTTTCTTGTTTTGATCAATAGTAGCAGTTTATTTTTTCAAGTGTGGTTCCTATGATGAATGCAAATCTGTGGAAACATTTCACTGACCTTTTTGATTATCTTCCCCCAGCAGCCCGTATTGAGAGTCAGGTTGCGATTTATATCATTGCCTTAACTTGATTATTCCCCAGATATTAGCTGACAATCATGCCCTGACCTTGTAGATTTTCTGCCTGCACGGTGGCCTCTTCCCATCTTTAGATACATTAGATAATATCCGTGCCCTGGATTGTATACAAGAGGTACACAAACCATTGTTCCTCTTCCTGATATGTGTTGTCTGATTTAGAATTTCTTTGGTTTGGTTCCCTCTTATATTAGTTTTGTCCTCTTCTTGACAACTTATACCCATATTTGACATGAAGCTGACCACTGGTTCAAGTTTCCTGGGGTTTGTAGGTTTAGCAATTCATGAACTTCGAGTGCTAAATAGAGTCACTAAACAAGTAATGGATGCTAGTTTAAATTAGAGACCATAACCCACATGATACATCACTTTAGTTTGGTGGTGCTTGGGTTCTTGGAAAAGGAGATGAATTAAATGACAATTCTTCATTTCAATGAAAAATTGAAATGATAAAATCAGTTTCTATGCGCTGATGTTGTACTATATACTATGGCCTGTGTTGAAAAATGGTGTTAGCCATTTCTGCGGTAATCATGATGGCTTTGATACTGAAACTCCCCTACCAGCTCACTTCTTGCAGAATCAACTGCTACTTTTTCCAATTTTTATTCAATTCTAATGTTCTTCCATTGTATGTGGGGAACAGGTTCCTCATGAAGGGTCAATGTGTGATCTCTTGCAGTCTGATCCAGATAACCGATGTGGATGGGGAATTTCTCCTCGGGGCATTGGATATACCTTTGGACAGGATATTCCTGCACAATTTAACCACACTAATGGGCTCTACCCTTATTTCTAGAGCACACCAGCTTGTGATGGAAGGTTATAATTGGTGTCAGGTATGTAAATCCCAATTGAAAAGAACAATCAGTTTTTGTCTAATATTACCAGGTTTCTGTTTCTAACTTTTTACCTCACTGTTTACAAGACAATAACGTTGTTACTGTGTTTAGTGCATCAAATTACTGCTATCGTTGGGGAAATATGGCTGCAATACTTGATATTGGGGAGAATATGGATCAGAGTTTCCTACAATTTGACCCAGCACCTCGTCAGAACTCCCCGACTACTTTTTATAATCTCCAAATCATACCACTCAGCAGCAATTCTTTTGTGATTGTGAAGACTTTCTCTGAAGAAGCGGACCTTTGGCTTCTCGTTGAGTTAAAAACGAAAAGAAATCATTGGTTTTACCATTTTTTGTTTAGAGCTGTCCTGTTGCTTTCAGTTGATTTTTTAGGAATACCTAGTGGCAGGTTTGTCATTGCATTCCTTTTGTATTGTATTCTGAATGCGAATGAAAGGGCAGTAGCATCTATTTTTTACATACTAAAGTGAAACAAATTCTAAAATGTTGTTTTTAACGTCTTACTTTTGTCACAAGTTGCCTTATTAAAGCAGAAGCTGTTGCTTATGGCTTTTCCCATTTCCTTCTGTCATGTTTGCTAAAATTTTATGCGTATTTGGTGGGGATCTCGTAGAAGATAGATTAGATTCAAAAACAAATTCTTAACCCAGGCTGGTTTGGGCTGATTCTGTCATTCTATGATCTCACTAGATAGAGATATTAAAGTGAAAAATACAATTGGTCTATGCAACATTATGTTAACCCTAGGTAGGGTTAATTGGCCTTCCAACTGGAGACTAATATTCAGATTCCTTAGGTGTATGGTGAGAATGTAGTTTAACAGAATCCAGAGGTTATCATCTACTTGTACAAACCACAGGTCAATGATCCATGAGTATGGGTGAGATGAGAAATGAAGCTCAGGTACACACACCCTATGAGAAAAATCAGTTGATTTTATCAGAAAGATCTGATCTGTGGATGGTACAACAATGTCAATGAAAAACAGAAGTTTGAAATTGTCATGCTGCTATAAGCCACTTTATGTTCACAGAAGTTAGTTACATCAGCTATGAAGTTTACAGGCTCTCCTTACTTCGCATTCTGTAAAATCGCCAACTGCTTCGCACTTGTTCTGATGAAGGGATGTCAATCTTCCAACAGAAAACCAGGTGCTGATGTTTCAAGTTTAACGATCACATGCAGAAACAGGTACATGCTGTCATCTTAGTCTACACCTAAATTGACAAAGATTTTCCATCATCTCAGTCTTCACCCAATTTGACAAAGCTTTTTGAACTTGAGTTGATATAAATCGTAACATTGTAGGTGAAAAGCTTGCTGGAGATGTCAACAGCTGCATGCTTTGGATGCCGTTGGCTGCAGAAAAGTTGGTGAGCCATGAATTTTTTACTTCAATTTACTGTGAAAATATGACATATAAAGACGAGCAACTGCAATATGATTTTGTTTGTAAATGAAATGAAAGGTTAAAGAGATTATGTACAGTTTCTCTTTTGCCAAGGATGCCACAAAATTATATTCAAAGATGTTATTCTTGACTTTGTACTTATTTATTAAGTACTGACTCTTTTTTTTCTCTCTCTCTCTTTTATCTTCCATAAGTACGTGACATTTGATATTTATAATTATCCAAGTTCATTAATGTCAATTTCTTTAAGGTCTTAGTGATTAAACATATTATGTAACATGTTAAAACCTATCACCTACTTCACCCACTTAAACCTAACCCACTACACCACTACCACCTCACCTACTCCACTACACCACTACCACCTCCACTTCACCTACTCCTTACCTACTACACACTCTCTTCTATATATAGGAATCATGAATCATTGTAATAAATAGATTAATACAACAATCAATAATACTATCAATTTATTTTACATCTCTATATCAATTTATTTTTACATAACAAAAAAACTTAATCCTGTTAGTATCAAATCCAAATCGACTAGGATAGAACACAATGACACTTCATTTAACATTCCATGCCATATGAAGGCACATTAGAACTGAATTATTGCAGGAAGGATATTTTGAACAATGTTAAGTTATTAGGACATTTGCAGCCCTCTGATTCTGATCTTTAAGAAATATATGGCAACACTTTTAGCTTATTTAAGAATACTTACAGTCTTGGTGAAAAGCCAAAATTCTGTGAACTTAACTCTTTAATAAATTTCCCTGGCCCATTATATGATCAGTTGTGCTACATGCCCAAAAACAATTACCCAGAAATTTACCCATAATTAAAATATGCGAACAAGATTCCTTCTGCATATGGCCCACAACATACTAAATTTTAATCTACACCCTGCACTTCACTTTCATGGTAAATTAGGTGTTCTACCCCTTCAAATCACACAAATCATTGTTGTTGCAGTACTTAACTACAACAAGATGGTCTCAGTGCTGTAACTGATTTATTAATCATAAAAAGTTTTTAGAAGAATATTACGGAAAGAGGACAAGGAAGTGAGAACTGAAAGCTCCTTGAAGCTTCAAAGCTGGGACTTAATGTTCTTTCTTCTAACACGGGCAAATGCCAAGATGTATATACATCTAATATTAAAACAGATAGGGGGAAAGAAAAGGAAAGGAAAAAGGTATGTGTAGAAAATAAGCGGAATAGGTTGAGGTCCGGCGGGCGGCCAAGGCGAAGTTGCCGCCCGCCGGGGAAGCAAAAATACTAGGGTCTAAACCTGCTCTGATACCATGTAAAATTTAATGTATAAAGAGAAATAGAGAAAGAATAAATTGTATGTATTATTGATTGATTTATATTGATATTTATTACAATGATTCATGATTATAAATGATTGAATGCTAGTTTACTTGGCATGTAGACTGGGTAACAGAACACAAAGTGTTGTTTCACATCACCAAGAAATTAACGAAAGCTAAGCCAAAAATGACTCTTCTAGAGTTCCATTCATCAATTCATGCTTCAAATTAGCAAGCATATATCGTTGTGCCTAAGTTGAAATATACATAAAAAGGCACTTTATTGATCAATGCAGGCATCAAATTAATGAACATATAGTTGTGAACAAGTGAAGACATAGAGACACAAACACTACCCATATGCGCATTTAGAATAACAAGACAAACTTGCTAACTACAAATTAAAGCCTCTCAATTTTGCAGTATTATATGCATTTTCTTGATTCGTACGTAATACTTCAAAACCCATAATCTCCAGCATATATCTCTAGTTACTGTCTGACAGTCTGTTAACATAGAATATAGGGTTCAATACTTGAGCCCTTAATGTCAAGGCCAATGCCGGACATCAGAGGTTTTGATGTCTCACATGATACTAGGACATCTTGTTTTTGCAGCCGATATATATATATATATATGCACTGTCTGTATGTTATGTAAACATATTCATACAATACCCAACTACAGCATCTGTTATCTTCTTTCTAGAAAAGCTATTAAGAATTGTTAGAGTGAGAAAGCTAGAGCATGTCAACCCACAGAGAGAGAGAGAGAGAGAGAGAGACATTGTAGGGCAAGTACCTTGAAAGTATATGAAAGAAGTCATGCATCCATATCCTCCGAGGGCTCTTTTGACTACTGCCTAAGCTTCCGCAAATGAAGAGCTATCTCTGTCAAAAGTTTTGTTCCTTCTCCTTCACTACCTCTGTGGAGTGTCATAGCAGCATGCTTTAAGAATCCACTATCTGCTTCGATTGCTCTCAATCTCTCCCTTAGAAGAGACATTTCTCTTGTCAGGACGGCCTTATTTTCAAGTCCTACCAGCCCACAAAATTCATTTAATCGTCTAGACTACATAACTCGATGGAAATAATTCAAGCAAACAAAATTAAAGAAAATCTAAAAAGGAAAGTTACCTATATCTTCAGCTTCACACTTTACCATGTCAGAGTTAGACTTGATAGGAATAATCCCATCATCTGAAGATTCATTGAATTTCTTCTCCAAATTTGCCAACAGACCAAAAAGAAAAGATCTCTCACCTTCAAAATCTAACGATGATTCATCAAGATTCCTCTTTCCACTTTCCTTATTCTCATTTTCACCATTATGATCACCTCCACTGTTGCTTCCACAATCAGATTTTTCACTCACGGATGAGAAAGACTGCGATTTCAGCTCTTGGTAATCGTCATCAGCATCAACTTCACATTCATCACTGCCTAGTCTAGTTATCTGTCCATATCTTTCTCTATATGTCTCGAGTTCAGCCTCTAAAACCTTAATCTCTTCCTCTCTCTTCATAAGCAAATCCTTCATCACTTGTAGAGCTTCCTGGTCATACTCTGCCTGCTCGTCCATCATTCTCTGATACTGTAAAGCTTCCATTTGAACTGCAGCTTTCTCTGCTTGCAACCTTGTGATCATAGCCATCGCGTTGTTTGCTGCGACAGCTGAAGCGCTTCTTTCTTCATCCAATTCCATGTACAATGCTATTAGTGACTTACGATCCAAACGAACTTGTCTCTTCAACTTATTCATAATGGAGTCACCGTCTGCTTCATTTGTGCCATTTGTGTCAACAGAGTCCGAAAAAAACTCCTTATCGAATGGCAGCTTCTTAGGAAACCTAGAAACCCACCTAGGACTCGCTGATGCTGAATCCGTAAGTGGGATTCCAAAAAACCTGTTTCCTCTAGTAAAGTTAGGGGTCTTAACTTCTTCAGTTATATCTTCAGAATCTGGTAGTAGTGGCACCGAAGCGGTTTTGTTGTCTTCTCTACCTGCTAGACAAGATCAAAATAAAAATCATTTCCATGACAATGTCATAGTCTTGATTAAAAATTATTCAGTGCCATGGTAGTGAAAAGCTCTCTCTCTCTATCTCTCTCGATGATAATATTCAGTAAACAATGCAATAGACACAAAATGCAAGAACTTAAACCTATTCGTCAATTGTTACAAAATGAAAAAATCATGGTACTATTTCCGATAATACATGAAACCAATGAGCAAATCTTGTTATGGGATAATTTACGTTCAGCAATGCTATGTTTGGATCTAAGATTTGATATTAAAAATGAAGGAAAGGGAAATGTTTTTATTTTGTTTTGGAGAATTGGCTTTACATATTTTCTCTATTTCTTAGCCTAAAAAAACAAAAATTTTAAAATATATATATGTTTAACTCCATTTTTTCTTTCTACTCTTTCCTAACCGAATTCTAGATTCAAACAAAGCATAAAAGTTAACGAAAAATTTTGGACACTTTCAAAACTTTAGTAGTTTGTTAAGTAGTAATATTGAACTATTGCGGGAAGAAGTAAAGAAGATAAGATACTTGAGAAGATAACTCACCTTCTAGATTTGAGCTATCTTCATCCTCCATAAGCTCTGATTCATTGTCTGACATAAACTTGAGCTCCGTGTAACGAATGTGAGGCAGTTCTAGATTACGCACTTCCTCATTTTTCCAGGTCACCACCGGTGGTGCACGAGGGGATGGAGTAGGTGCTAGTGAAACAAGGCTCGCATTCATTGACGGACTACAATTCATAGCCTTCGCCGAGGGCCTCACCTTCAAGGGCTCTCCACAACAACAGCACCATTGATCATCTTTCCTTCCCGCAAGTGATTTCAAATTCATCATATCATCGTTGTCCATAAAGCTATCGATATCCTTGTGCATAATCCCGACTATGGATTTGTATGTGTCGGTACCTGATTCTCTCTCCGTCCCAAACGAGAGGAGGCACCCTTCACACATGCACCGGATGTCAGAGAGCTTCCGGTGCACGTGGCAATAGGCGAGGGAGGAGATGTCCCTCTTGTGTACTTCACATATGGAATCATTGTAGTAAAAATTGGAGTTCCGGTGAACAAGATTGTGGTCAATCCTCGTGCAGAGCAAACAAGGAATGTTTAACTCAAACAACTTGGCAAATTCATTGGAAATGAATGCTAGAAATCCATCAATGAAGAGCAACAATATCATTATCCATTCAAGAAAGGCATAGATCACAAAATGTGGGAAGCTTCCCCATTCTTGCTCGACATAGCGTTTGAATGATCGTGAAGCCATGTAACATCTAGCTGGAAAGAAGAAAAAAAACAAATTGAAAAGTAGAAAGATTGGTGTTTTCTTGATTGTGTTTGTGGAAAAAGGCCAAGTGGGTATCAATTGGAAGAGATTGAGAGGGAGGGATCAGAATGGAGAAAGAATGGTGATGGTGGGACAGATCATGACCTTGGTGGGGAGAACCAGACCTTGATCATGACCTCTCTCTTTCTCACTTTCTCTCTCTGTATCTATTATCTCTCTCTCTCTCTCTCTCTCTCTATGTGTGTGTGTGTGTGTGTAAGAGGAAGAGGAGAGAGAAATTCAACAATACAAAGGTTTGAAATTTTGGGTGGTGGTGTTGGTTTGGCCAAATATGGAGAAAGGGTCATCACATTTTGGTTCAAATATAGAAGTTTTTAGGCAGACATTACCTGAATTAACGGTCTGTCAAGCACTTTCCAACCAACCAAACATAATCTCTAGAATTGTTGTGGAATTACCATTTTGTGTAGCACTAGAAATTGGCAGATAATGGTGTTCCACTCCCAACTCTTGAACATGGCTAGCAGTATGCATTGGGGGGGGCTTGATAATTGAACTGGGTATTTTTTTTTATTTTATAAATTTAACAGAAGCAAAACACCTAATAGACTTGAATTTTAGTTGGATGGAATATGGATGAAAAAGTTGCTCATTAAGCTAAAAAATTTGAAAAATCTGTTCTTGAATTAAATAATTATTTTTTTTAAAAAAAAGAAAGAAAGAGAGAGAGAGAGAAGTTTTATAAATTGTGGCTTGAATAACATACACATTCGTTACAGTTTTTCTGTGTTTTCACGATGAAATGATTGAACACAAACATGGTTTTTTTTAATTTTTGAGTGAAAGTACTTTTTGAATATTCAATATCAACTTTTCTTATGTTTCTTAAAAAGTGGATATTTTCGTAAAATTTTTACGACAATTTTCTAAGCAGTTCGTCAAACAAAGATTTTATATTTTCTAGAAATTAAATGAAAACATAAAATGAAAATGATACCAAAGCATCCTTTAAGTTTTAAGAACATAGAGAAAGAGATATATATATATAGAGAGAGTGTGTGTGTAGAGACCCTAATTTTTGTAATTACCTTTAAATCCCTAATCTTGAGTTTATTTTAATAAAGCCCTTGAATTTTCGCTTAATTATGTTTTAAACTCTCGAATCGGGAAGCATTACGGATTAATTCGAGTAAACCCTAATCGATCCCAGTAGATTAATAATCACCTTTAAAACCATATTATTAATTATTAGACCCTATAATTATAGATTCATCACTTTAAAATCTTAATTCCCGATAACGCCGTTTTTGCTCGGTTTCTCTCCTTTGTTTGCGCTTTAATTTAACAGGATCCAAATTTATTATTTTAACTATTTTCTAAGGCTAGTATATTGTATGCTAAATATCAAGGTTTCATAAATTTAGACTTGGTCCCTATACACTTTTATTTTATTACATTCCAACCCTTAATTGTAATATTTTATTAATTAATGTACTTGTATTATATTATGTTTATAAATACAAATATCTCATACAAATATCATATATATACATATATATGTCTTGGAGCCCAAGTTGTTGACCATGTGATGGATAAAAGGGCCATAATGGCAACTTTGACAATTTGCACTTAGGGAACTTAGTCCCCAAGAAACCTTCCCAATCTTTTCTCTATATATATATGCACACTTCTCCCCCTTATGATATACATTTTTAGCCATTCACTAGAGGAGTGAGAGCATACTTCAGCCAACCAAGAGAGAAGAGAGAAAGAGTTAGAAAAAAAATAGAGAGAGAGAGAAGAAAAAGAAGATTTGAGTTGAGATCTTTGCACAACAAAAGTAAGCATACATCACATCTTCTCTCAAGTTCTTTTACCACTTGTTTTTCCCCTCCTAATACATGTTCTTTGTATATATATGTTGTAGTATAGGCCTACACTCTTGTATAAATGTGTATTAATCAAGAAATAGTGTGCTTCTTTTTCTTTCTTAAATTTCCAACAGCAAATCTTTTCCCCCTCTTGAATTTATTTTTCTATCAAAACTCCATAACCTCAAAATCTGTTTTTATGGTGTAATATTTGGTATGTCTAGAGTATGTGATAATTTTGGTAGGACCTAAGAATGTATTTTTATAACCTAAACAATTTTTCTAAGTTTGTTACTCATTGAACCAGAAAAATAGTCAACTTTATCTATTTTTAGAAAATTCCAAAAAAATAATCTTGAGTCCAATTTTATGTGAAAATCTTAATCTGGGTGTTTTATTTCAACTAAAATTTGTTTGAACTCAAGAGAGTGAGGGGTTTGAGAGAAAAACCGATTTGCATAACAGTCAATGAATCTGGATAGATCTTGGTAATTCTGAATTATCTTAAAATATAAAATACTTATCCTATTTTCGTAAATTGGGTTTGAAACTACACTTATTTATCTACCAACTCACATGAGGCCAGGTCTTTAGGGCCAATAAAACTTTTTTTTGCATAGTTATTTTCAAACTGGTTCAAATCCGGAAATCTGGAAATTTGTGTTAACATGCTCTTATTTGGTTTACAACTCTTATATTCTATGTTTCTTGAATGTTTTAGTCTTGATATGTAATCTATGATAAATTGTAAATTTTCCTTACCATGAATAAATTACTTCTTGTTTAGTTTGGATTCGTAATTATATTGACCATGCTTTACTATAACTGAAAACATAATGTACTTAAAAAAGGGGAAATCAAATGGGATAGTAATGGGTTGCGATCATTGTATTAAATTTTATGAGATAATGAACGGTGGATTCAAGAGTATGATATAATGGAATGTGTTTCATTCTTGGGAAGTCTTGCGCAAGTGTGTTTTCGAACCCTAACATGGCACGGGAGGTATTCTGGTTGCTTAACGGAAATAGGACGCATAAGGGTGGCAGTGAGGGTCTCACACAGGGAAAGTATCCCTGGAAGCCCGTTCCCTTGGGGCAGACCGTGATGTCACCACTCGGGTATATAACCTAGGTGCGTGGGCATCATTGGTAATTGTGTGGTAAGCGATGCACTGGTGGTTATGCAGTAAGCGACGCATTGGTATTGTATTAACCAAGGGGCCGTCAGAATTGCCGGTGGCCAGTGTTGGTGGTTGGGTAGGAACGGCATTCCGCGGGGAGTTGCCTAGAACTAACTAAAATTGACTATTATTCATGAGAACTGAAATTTAATTATAAGCTCTACTTAATTATTGCTTTCATTGTATGTTATGGTCATGCCATTATGTTCTTGTGTATTTGGAATGGGAAAAGGGTCAGGGTGTGTGTGTTTACTGGGCATTCCAAGCTCATGGCGTTTTATGTCAGGTGAATGCGAGTTTTACACCAAGAACGGAATCCCTAAAAGTTTCGCAGAACCACGCTGCCTTAGAGATTAGATTTCATATTTCTTGTATTTTAGATAATCTTTTTGTATCAATGAACTGATTTGTACTCAAAGACTTGAAGAATTTTTATTACTATTTTATTTTAGTGTAATTATTTGTATTTTATTCTTAAAAATGAGGTGTATCCACTAGTTAAACCCCGATGTATCATTGTATTATATTATCAAAATTTGGGGCATCACAAAGAGAGAGAGAGAAGCTATATGAAAATTTTATAGGTGCGTCTCCCTTTTCCACGGTCAGAATTTGGTCAATCTTATGTAAAATGAAGTTCTGAAAGTATGCTTTACAACGATTACGACCTCATATCAAAATTTAAAGTGTGAAGAGAAAAAGAAAAAAGAAAGTGTAAAAAAGTGTTAAATTATGCTTTGCACCTTTATATTTTACACTAAATTTTACTTCAACCCCCTATATTTTATACTAAATCTTACTTCAACCCCCTAAAATTATAAAAGTCAACTCCTACACTTCTGGTCAAATCTCACTTCGATCTCTACATATGAAATTGTGACAGTCAACCTCTTATATTCTCTGTAAAATCTCACTTTGGTCCCTGTATAAGTATTAATGTCCTTTTTCTGTTACTCAATTGTTTAAATCTTTAACAAAATCTAATCATGTCATAAGAATGTGATTACAACATATGGGTAAGAAAGAAAAATCAAATACATTTTCCATCAATACCCATTTTATCCGAAAATTACATATAATATAACTGTATTAAGTTAAAATAAAATGCAGATTATAAACAATGAAGAAGATGAACTAGGGTTTTGGTTAAATTAGAATCACGAAACTTTATTTTTCACGGTAACATAGTTTTCTATCTATTCATCTTTTTTTCTCTTTATTTTTTTGTCGCATTTTTTATTAATTTATTTCAAAAGCTCTACTTTCTGACCTTTTCGTTTCAATTTTTACCATACGAACATATATATATATTGTATTATACAACTCTCATAGGCTTATCACGTAAAACAAAATGTATCGGTGGGAAGCATAGATGATTTTAGGGGTGGGCGCGGGTCGGTTGCGGCCACGAAACCTCCAATCCGCCATCTATATTGTATTATACAACTCTCATAGGCTTATCACGTAAAACAAAATGTATCGGTGGGAAGCATAGATGATTTTCTTCTCTTACCCTCGTTTCGTAATCACATTTTTGTCATATGACTAGATTTTGTTAAAGATTTAAAAATGAAATAACGAAAGAGAGACATTGACACTTGTGTAGAGACCAAAGTGGGATTTGGCAAAAAATGTAGGTGGTTAACTAGCACGATTGCATGTGTAGGGGTCAAAGTGACATTTGATGCAAAGTGTAAGGATGCATTATTTATTATTTTTAGAGTTAGATTTAAAAACTAAAAAATATAGATGAATAATATGTTTATTTTTTTCAATTCAAAAATATATTCAAGTTGAAAACTTTTTTTCAACAGAATATTTAAACACTTTTTCAATTGAAAACACAAACATAATATTTAAACAAATTGAAAATACAAAGTCTTATAAATTACTACAGGTGCTCGCGATTTGGCGGTTTGGCGGTTCGGTTGCGGCCCAAAAATCTCAAATCCGCCATCCGTCCGCCAAATTGGCGGATTGGAGAAAATCAATCTGCAACCGTCCGCTCATCATCACGCATCCGTCCAAAATGCGGCGGATCGGTTCAGTTCGGTCGGTTTTGGCGGATCGGTATATCCGCTGCTCACCCCTAGATGATTTTCTTCTCTTACCCTCGTTTCGTAATCACATTTTTGTCATATAACTAGATTTTGTTAAAGATTTAAAAATGAAATAACGAAAGAGAGACATTGACACTTGTGTAGGGATCAAAGTGGGATTTGGCAAAAAATGTAGGAGGTTAACTGGCACGATTGCATGTGTAGGGGTCAAAGTGACATTTGGTGCAAAGTGTAAGGGTGCAGAGTGTAATTAACCCTAAACAAAACTCAATAATATATTGTATAAATATTATTTATATTATATATATTTTACATATATAGTATTTATTTATTTATTACTGTATTTGTTGTCCTAAATTTGCAAGGTCAAAAATCAAAACCTTGCAAAGGCTCTCTTTAATTAAAAAAAAAAAAAATTAAAATTAAAATTAAAATTAAAGTGAAAGAAAAGAAATAAAATATGTATATCTATATTTTTTTGCAAGCATTTAATTAAGATGAAAATTATATAAGAAAAAAAAATTTAAAATAATTTTTAATTATAAATAACTCACATATTCAATTTTTCTTATGTTTTCTTGTATTTTTTGTAAGAAATTAAAAATTAATTATAATTTTAACATGAATTATACAAGGAAATTAGTTTTCTTTTACTTTTCACCACATTCAAGATAAATAAACTCATAAAAACCCCCTTTTTTTGTCCCTGTTTCCCTCAATTTCAATCTATTTCATTTTAAACAAACTGAAAATTGAAAGAGACAGAGCTTTCTTAGCAATAATTGAAATTTCAAGAAGATAAGCCTGCAAGTTGAAATAGTCAATGGAATGTTGGACAGACAAGCATACTTGCCTTGTGTCCAAAATTTAGCTTAGCTTAGCTTGTATTCCAATTCTAAAGTTGTTGGGTCAAGTGTTTCTCTACTCGAAAAGTGGCTTCTGGTCCAAATTTTGGTTCCAAGACGATAGCTGTCTAACTTATTGCCCAATATCTTAACAAACCAGTTTGCTTCACAAGCCCATTCAAAAGTAGTGGATTCAACGAGACATTCTTTTTGGATCCAATCAAGTGTTTGGAGGGCTAATTGGTAATGGTCAGGATGCTTAAACTGTTGCTCTTTTGTTCAATGTGCACTCTTTTGTTCAATGTGCACACTCGCATCAAGGTCACCTATTGGAACCTTTATTTTTTTGCCATCCCTATGCATGGCCAATTCAGTCCGCGCGCAGAACTGTATATCTTACATCCAGACAACTGCTCGGGATAAAAGCAACCAGAGAGAGAGAGAGAGAGAGCGCGTTGAGATTATAGTTAAAACCCAGTCAATTATGGAGTTGTTTGTATTAACCCCTGGAACCCAACTTCCACTTTAAATGAACATCCTGTGATTTTAAGAACAATGCCACACAGTATAAAATGCATATCTAACAGATTATAAGGCCTATAAGTGAAGGGAGGTTGTGGTTGCCACTGCAACCTTCTACAAATATAGTTTGGGGGCATGTACTCCATTTAATATATATATATAATTAAAAAAAGTAAAAAATAAAACAAAATATGGCTGGAGAAACAACAATGGCCCATCCCATGCAAGCTTTAGAAACTACTTCACTGGGTGACCAGCAGTATATAGGAGTCGTATGACAAAATTCTCACGCTAACAGCGACCACAGTTCTTTTAGTTTGTAGGCAAAACATTTGTAGACATGTAGGGTGAAATGCATCCCTGTACCTGAAAAGAATTAGCAGTTATAATAAGAAAAGGGCATACTAAACAATATTGGAATAGGTGTTTTGACAAAAATAAAATTGGGATAAGAGGTTGTGAAGCTGTTGAAAGAGGCGTGCACAAATATGACAGTGATAAGCCCTATGGTAATGCACAGTATAAGAGAAAAGAAGCCTGTATAGGTCCTTGGTACATTTCTACCATTTAGATATCCTGAGACACAAAACAACGGTAGTATTTTGGTAGCGTTTCCAGTATCTAGCATTATATTGCACAAAACAGCCAAAGGGTTAGTCGAAAGGACCCATAAATAAATTCATCCTCGCAGCATATCCTGATATAATTTATTGGCAACTACATGGACTTCCGGTTTCTTTTAAATCTTCACCCAAGCAGGTCTCCTAAACAATATCCAGCGTGCCACAAGCCCATAACTTTCTTATCCAATAATGACATTAACCTCATAAAACACTCCAACAATAGATTTTATCCAATAATGAGATTAATCTTATAGATGAAAAAAGATAAAAACAAAAAATAAAAACATCAACAAGATTAGTACATCTCGAAATTAACAAGCCTTTTTATATATCATGTAACCCAATCGAAAGCCAAGTAGAATGAGAGGAGGGATGGGATGGGATTGTAATCTCAACAATAGCTACATTTCCTCAATTATAAGCAATGCACAGAAATCGATATCAAGAATGACATGATGCAGAGATATGAGGATTGCAAGGGAATTTCAGGAGGAAAAAAAATTGAGCTATGCAGAAGAGACTTTGCCATAGGAGAGGGTATATGTTACCTGCAACAAACAAGTAGGAATTTGGATAAACCCCTGCAATAAAAGATCAACCTTCTCCAGAGTGTTCTGTGGAACAGGGGTAATTACATAGAGTAACTGTCTGAATGTGTCAATGCCTCTCACCAATCCTGGTTCATAAAGAATCAATTAATAAGACGAGCATGAGAAGTCTCGATTAATTACTGTCGTGTAATATTTCACCCTCAATTCTAACACAAATGGATTGGAATAATCAGTTATGCATATCACACACAAAACAATTCCAGCAGAAAAAGAAGTATTCAATGTTGTTGACCACCTGAAATTAAATCCAATTTGATTTCGTAGCAAAACATGACCTTCTCCATTTCTCTCACCGAACATGAGCAATCATTGGAGGAGAACCAAAAAAAAAAAAAAAAAAAAAGAGCTTCTAGGAGCTGCCTGCTACTCTAATCTATACTGTCCATTGAGAGAGCTACTGAGAATCTTTTGTGACTTTATATCATCATTATCAACAAACACTGAGCTATCAGGACTAATATGGTCATATATATTTATTTAAGTCCAACAGTTTTACAAAAGACTGTACCATAAGTTAATAAAAGAATTTTAATATTTTGCAATAGATAAAATAACTTATCTGTAATTTCACATCACAAACAGGCTAGAATAAAATTGAAATCATGACTAAACAAAACATTGAGGTGAGCCATACAACAAAGAAAAATAAGCTAACAAATAAAGATGAAGATAGTGAGTAACCCTACCCAGACCAACACAATGAGCCAACTGCTCAGAATCTTCAGAACTAACTGCCAAGCCAACAATAGTTGCATTCAAACTGTAGAAAATCTCAGTACTTGGAACCTAGAGCATAATTATTGTAGCATTAGAAAATGTCATATTCCCTTAATATGAATTTTTTTTTTTTTTTGATAAATATTCCCTTAATATGAATTTTAAAAAGTAAAATAAACAATGTTGTAAAACTTGTCATCATTGACTTATGCCTCGGTGATTATCTGGGCTATCATAAATTGAGCAGGATAGGACTTCAGAGTGGAACTGACCCAAAAAAACACCAAAGAATATTTTACTACCAGAACAACCCTGAAGCACCTGTTTAACTTGTTGAACAAACCTGACAATGGAGATGTTTAATCTTGACACTTGATATAGAAATTTCATAAGGAGGGTGCGCGGCCAATGCATGAGCAAGTTCCTTGATTGTGGTGATATTCAAGTCACTTGGTAAACACTGTCTGAAATAAGCCATGATCCGTAAATCCCGTAGAAGACGTGCATCTCTTTGAACTAGTACCCTAAGAAACAATGACGGAGAGAAGGTAAAAGAAAGAAGAACTACATCTTTTGAAAAATTCCTAGTTAATGGAAAATCAGAATTTCCTTGCCAATTAAAATGACAAATTTCCATGAAGAAGGCAGACGTCAAATCACAAATAGCGGGATCAAATAATATTTCTTTTGATGGCATGTGGGTCCAACAAATCCCAAGATATAAGATCAAATAAAATAATCTAGCTTGATTAAGAAATTTAATTAACCAATAGTAGAATATAATGAAATAAATCATTGCCTTTTATTTGAACAAATGTATGTACTACAGTTAACTTCTTGATTTGAAGTACGCTTAACGTGAATCAGACTAAAAGTCTAGCAGCGGACTTGAACCAATATATCTTATGTGTATACTAGAAACAATGATTCATAATTTTCAGAAGGGGAAAATAAGTTAAAACAAATTTTGCAAAGCAAAGCAAAGCAAAACTTCATTTACAAAGTCAAGTTTCGGATCAAACACGAAGACAGCTAAGAACATACGATCTCTTTAAGGAATCCTGACGAGCTGAATTGACCTCAATTAGGGTCAATGTTGCATCATCATCATGTCCCTCATCTAACCAGAATGCCCCAGCCGGTAGGTTCTTACTCACAGCAGAGATGCAAATCTTAACTACATGGGTGGGAGAAATATATTTCAGCATATCCACCAGTACATCATAACCAATACCTGGAATAGATAGGAATGACATAGCACAATCAGTGTAGTGACGGAAACAATAATGAAGAAATTCAATGCAGAAATAACATACAACCAAAACAGACAGGTTCATCAATATATTTTAGAAGGAAAAGGAATAATTAAACAAGCATACCTTTTACCCAACCAGGAGTATTAACTACAAGAGGCAATCCAGTGTTACCAGGGCTTTCACTGTTGTTGGACATGCAGTACATTTTCCGATAGTAATCATATAGGGCAAAGATATGTGCCAAGTAAGCTGTTGGATCTCTTTTTGAAGAAATATCGCCATAGAAAAAACATCTGAAATAATGGGAAGAAAAAGAAAGAACTTTTAGTCATTATCATTGGTCTAACTTTTGATCAGATTTGGATTACTGCACCAAGTGGAACCATAATGAGGGGGTTGTCTATCACAAATTGAGTTCATGCAACTGGTTGCAGGACATGTTCAAACACCATTGCTCATACTTAATGTGGCAACATGCCATACCAGGCTATAAATCCATTACAAATTTCCAAGCAATTTTACTCCATGGGACTAAAACTCTATTAACTTTCATGAAAAATTTCACCTCCTAGACAACTCAAGTTCATTATGTAGCCACCCCACTTTTGGGACACAATGCTTTGTTTGGTTTGGGTAGGTGTTAAAATTTACCTACACCTACCACCACCTACTACCACACCTACTCATTTTTTGCTCCACCGACCGCATCGGAAAGTTCAACGGAGCAAACACAGAAATTCAAGTTCAAAGTAAAAAGCATATTACAAAAAAAATTAAAAATTAAAAAAAACCCCTTAAATTCCCTCCAACTTCTACTACATGTTTTGCACTACGAAAAATATTCAACTTCCAAGGCAATCTCTGTTTCCTGTATCTTGCAGTTACTCATGCTTACATTTTGAATCATTGTAACCTATTCTACCAACCAACATTGAGGGGACCAAGTGTTCCAATAGTTCACCAAAAAAAACAAAATCTTGTCTAGACTGAAGCCCGACAAAGCTAATTTACTTTGAAGCCATATTAACCTGAATCCTGGCAAGACCAATTTAACTTCAAAATGCCATTATATTTGACAAAACGTGTAAAGAGATCCTCAATAAGCTTTATAAACTCATTATGCTTTGTCTGCCAACCTTAAAACAACCTTCCAAACACTTGACAGGTAACTGGCTCATTTTTGGGAGCCACAGACACATGCACAACTAATGTCCTCAAACCATGTGGCTCTATTGGAGTACAATATAAAAAATCAAGATATAAATTCCAAATTAGAGCTTGACACCACTTTTGTTTTTCTTTTCTTGTAAGGGTTTCATCAAGGATTATACTGTCAAAAGTAAGCAACAACTCTGGTATTCTTCTGTAAAGTAAAAAATTGAACAGTGAAATATTGCAAAAAAAAAAAGAAAAGAAAAACATGTCTATCACTTGATAAAAATCACGGGACACATAAACTGTGAATGGCTCAAAAATGCATAATGCCCATGACAAATACCATAATTGCAAAGTATGACCTCCATGGGTCAGTCATTGCATTAGAATGTAATTACTAATTACTACAAGTGATCCAGCCCCCAAATACATCATGATGTTCCACAAAATGTATAGAGGAAAAAAAAAATCTACCATTTTTGGGAAAAAATGTTTTTTAATTTTTGGACTTTGAATGAAAAAAAAACACTTTAAAATGTTATAAAGTAACAATTTTAGAATATCCTAGGATCCAGACAAATGAAGATAAGTTCAATAATACATACCTCTCAGGTGTTTTCATGCATGGAATTGTCAAATCTAATTAAAGAAGACAAAGGAGAGAGAAAAAAAAACGATCAAACGAAAACCATCATAGATATAGATAACATAGAAGTGACAATCAATAAAAAATTATAAATAAATAAATAAATTTCGATACATTGACCACATTGGTTGGAATTTAAGGCATGGCCAGTACCTGGAGTTATCTTGTCAATTACAGTGAGTGATAAACATCCAGGAGGAGTGAACTCCGTCTGCCCAACATCTGTGTCCAAATACGCTACTTTTCTGTATCTGCACGATAAGATAAATTTAAGTAAAATATGATGAGTATTAAGCACAGTAATATCAAGCACATTTGCAGATCAAACTACAGTATTCATCTTCAAAAACACCAAAAAGAATAGAAAATAAAAAATTTAAAACAAAAACAAAAAGAGAAGCAAATCACTGAGAATAGCAAGCATAAGCCTAATTGAGCATGTTGATTGGTAAACTTACACAAGATGAAATTAAGAATAAATCACAGGAAATTCTACTATACACACCCCCTACCATATGCACCCCCAGTGTTATTAAAGGCGATAGGTGCACCGAGGAGCCAAGCTCTCTTGGGGCCTAGGCGTAGGGCAAGGCACAGGCTTTACCGAAGTAAGGTGAACCTTTTATGTAAATATATATATAATTTAATATAAGCAAATAATTTAGGGTCCAACATAAGCAAAATGAAATATTAAAAATTAGAAATACAAATACCAACAAATTAACATTATTTCAAAATTTAACATAAAACATGAATAAAAAGAGGGGAGAAGAAGAACAAGAAGAGGTAAAAAAATCTTATCAGTCCAAAGAAGGATGAGAAAGAGAAGGAGACCAGAGAATAAGAATAAGATAGAAGAAGATCACATCCATGTGAAGAAGAAGATAGCAACATAGAGAAGAGAAGTAGAGAAGAAGAAGAGAAGAGAATGAGAGAGAAACTTAAGAAGAAGAGAAGAAGACTGCAATATGAAAAAGAATTTTGGGAGTTGCAACGAAGGTAGGCAACAGCAAAGAGTAGTGGAGGTGGTAGGTGGAGTAGGTGAAGTGGAGGTGGTAGTGGTGTAGTGGGTTAGGTTTAGTGGAGTAGGTGAGGTGGTAGTGGTGTAGTGGGTTAGGTTTAGTGGGTGAAGTAGGTGATAGGTTTTAACAGTTGATTTGGGGCAGAATGCCCAATGCATTGGCATGTGTACTTAAGAGTAGGGATTTTCTGTAGTTGCATCATATTAAATCAATGGTTAGATTTCAAACAAAACCAATCAAAGCAACAATAAAAAATAAAATATAAAAAAGCTCCCAAGGCGCATGCCTTGGGCGTTACTGTGCCTTGGCCCAGTCGCACACCTTAAGCGCGACTTATCGAAGTTGCCTAGCCTGGAACACTGCAAGGCGCAAACGTTGGGCCTGGATGGGATTTGGGCCTAGGCGCACGCCTAAGCACGCCTTTAATAACACTGTGCATCCCTAAGTTATATAATTTTCCTTTTTAATTATTATGTTATTTTAGTTATGACTCATGAGATATTTGTTTATGACTTTTTTAAGTTATAAGGTTCATATGGTACACATGCCATAGTCTTTCCCATAAATCACATATATTGTCATATCTAATTGAAAGTTTAATATTTTAAAAATAAACTAGGAAAACTATCAATTTTAAGCTGTTATCCAGGACAGCATGAGTCAAATTGAGCATCACAACTGAAAATTTTCCAAAATTCAATGCAACACCTACATAGCAGAATCATAAAATTCTTAAAACCCATTTCACAATGGATACCAATAAAAATGTATAGAGCACCTTAAACTTCAAAAACATGGCAGAGATACAAACATTCTGTCAAATACATAGAAGGCAAAAACAAAAGAAACGAATTTCAATCAGAAACCAAATTACCCATGAACAAAACATGAATTTTACATCAAACAGTGATCAATAAATGCATTTTGGATTATATTTTTGGTACCTCTGAAGGAGGATGTTGAGGAGGTGGCGAGAGAAGGTGGTTTTGCCACTGTTTTTGGGGCCGCAGATGAAGGAGATGGGAGGAGGGGAAGTAACAGAGTCGTAAGCTATGGAATCCGCAGCTTCAGACCACTCCTCCGGTATAAATATGTTTGGTGATGGATTTTCAGTCTCTGGAGACGAACCCATCTCTCTCTCTCTCTCTCTGGTTCTCTGTGTATGTAAATATGGACACACCGAGGGCGTGAAGCCTGGAGTTACAGGTCCGCGTTCATCGTGTGATGCCTCTACTGATTCGACACTGCCACTCGCTCTCTCTCTCTCTCTCTCTCTCTCTCTACTACTCTCTCATATGCCGCCGAGCCGAGTCTCTGTACCTTTGGTTTTTGTGGGCAGTCTAGGATGAGTTTGAGAGCATCTCCAAGGATAGTTAAACAAGGTTTGTTTAGGTAATGTTATTAATCCTTCATTTTTTTTAAGGGTAAATTACAAAATTGTGAAGGTTTATTTAAATTATAAATTATTTTTTTTTAAATTTTAGAAATTATATTATGCCTTCTAAATTTCATAATAAATAGCTCTTTTTATTAATAAATTATCAAGTTAATTAACGGTTTTTAATAATGTTAAAATTTTATTTCAATTAATAATTTAGATAATTTTATTATTGTATAGGTAAACAATTAGAAATTTCATTTTTCAATTAATTTTGTTAAATAAAAAATTCAGACAGTGAGGTATTTGTAATTTTTTAAACCACATGAGACAATTCGTATTTTAAGTAAATTTTAAATAATGTATTTGTAATTTATTCTTTTTTAAATTTTGGGATAAATTATAAATACACTTAAATTACTATATGCTCTATGTGATTTTAAAAATATAAAAATATTTGCGAGCTCTAAATTAAGAGTTGTAAATGAACTCTAGGGTGTGGGGTCTATTTATTGATGTGATATTTTAACTTAACTTTTTTTTTCTCCCCGTCACATCATTAAAGCTTAATTAGAGTTCCAAAATTAGAGGTATGTATTATTACTTTTAAAAATAATATCTTGTCTCTTAAAATTTTAAATTTCATAATGAATGATCTTTTTTGTAAATAAGTATAATTTAAATAAAAAGAAAATGTATAAAAATAACTAGAGAAATTTTTAAATAAAGTACAAAACTCTATTTTCAAAACGCATGCGCTTTTCTCTGCCTAAATTCAAATAAATCCATACAACTTTAAAATTCAACCAAAATTATTTACAGTAATTTGATCAATGATGTATAATTGTAAATATTATGTATATCAAGAAATAAGAAAAAGTAATTTTTTTTGTTCTTTAATCATCATCAAGGTAAAAAATAGAAAAACGACTTCTTTTTTTATAAGAAAGAAAGCCATTTGTTTATATTTATATAGGATTCTTGAAAGTAGATATATCTTTTTTGAGTGTTCAACTTTAAAAATAAAAAGATAGTTGATTTATATAGGACTTTTCATGACTTTTAGAAAACATAGTTCATTTGATAGGGTAAAATTGGAATTTTAAAAAAAGTAGAAAACATGACTAGTTCTTCACACTTTTATAATAGTACTAGATAGCAGATAGTAGGTATAGTATGAGGGTGTAGGGGTGGTGCAGTGGTAGAAAAAAAGGATAAAAACAGGAATTACAAGGAAGGCAAGTGGTTTTGTTGTGCAATTTGTTACTTTTTTCGTAGTTCAAAGTTGTGGAGTAATGGTAGAAAAGAGGAGAATAATGACTATAATGAAAAGAGGAGAACAATGGTTAAAAAAATGGAGAAAGGGCATTGGGGTGACGAGATTGTGGGTGACTGTCACGATCCAAATCCGCCCTTGTAGAGATAGCAATCGGAACCCGACTCGACGGAGGCCCAATCCCGACCCCGAATTGAGCAGTTATTCCCCGAAAAATACCCCTGACGGGCCAGGGATGGTATTCGAAAATGAATCCCCAATCACTTTTGAGCCGGGGACGGTGATACGTCTCCCAGCCCCGTCCCCGACCCAGAGAGAAAGAGAAAGAGCCGATCCTCCGCCGTCGCCAAGAAAAGAGAGCTGTCCTTTTCACAACGCCGATCTCCTCTACCTACTCCTTCGCCGATCTTCTCCGCCGCCCTTCTCCACCGACTCATTCGCCGATTTGCTCTTCACAGTGCCGATCTCTATTCCACTCTCTTTCTCTGTGTTATACACACACACATATATATATATATATATTATAGATTGAAGCTCAGATCTTGAGATCTATTATGATGATAATATGTTGTTGATTTTTTATTTATTTATTTATTTATTTATTTTGGATCTGTTGGTTTTTTTTGATCTGTTGTTCTTTTTTTTCTTTTTTTTTTGGTCTGTTGTTGATGATGATAATGATGGTGATGATCTGTTGGTGTTGATCTCTCTCTGTCTCCATGTTGATCTTCTTCTTTTTTTATCCTCCAACTTCAAAGCAGTTTTCAAAAAAAAAAGGGTCGGGGGTTGTTCGGGGTCGGGGAAACCCAATCCCCGTTAGGAGACGGGGACGGGGGCGATGGCGGTGGCAGTAATGAGTTCCCCGCCGGGGATTAGGGGTGGGGGCGGGGAAATTTGTATCTTTAGGGATCGGGGACGATAAGTGTGATCCCCGGGCCCGGCCCGGCCCGTTGCCATTCCTATTCCCCTGTAAATTTAGCGTCAGAACCAGCCAATAAGGCCTCTGACCTGATTAACAAAATATAAGGGACTAGTGGGAGCAAATATATAAAATGCATTGTCAATAGAGCTGTGCTGACGTACATGGGACCAAATATTTAAAGTTTAAATATATACATATGACGTTAAATTTCATAAGTCATGTATCAACACACAGATAATAAGAAAAGAGCTTAGTCCAGTGTATGGAAAAACAAAACAAAACAAAACAAAAACATCCTTAACATGATCCACAAAACTTGACTTTTTCAATAGGAACCTTCTCGGGAGGCACTGTGGCTGGCTGACAAAACAGAATTCTAGGCCATCAATCTTAGGCCTGGTCATGCACCTGATCACCTACATATATAATATAACTAGTGAGCGAAAGCCCAGTGAATAATAACAAAGTAAATGGTTAAATGAATAATGCCCCATATCAGATTCAGAAAGCAAAAACATATTCATATTCTTATTCTAAGTTCAGAAGCATGTACTTATTCAATTTCACAGAGGATCATACGTGGTACACCCATTAGCTCTACCAGATCAGATACAGAGCATTAAGGGTCATACTTGATCAGTTCCATAAAGGAACCTCTAGTATCGGGAACAGAGAACATACTTAAGCCACGGTATTGTTACCACTGGGCGAAGGCCATAAGACCACGGTATTGTTGCCCTCGAGCAAGGGCCTTGTGCTCACAGACCACGGTATTGTTATCCCCGGACAAGAGCCATGTACTAAGGATGCCATGATACTTGTCAATATATGGACAATCATTCATTGATACAAAAGATAGCATTTTAGAAAACAAATCATTTTTTGTCGTATCATATCATATCATATAGGAAAAATATTTAAATATGAACATATCTTTATAAAGTTAATACTCATTGATGGCTTCAAAAGCAAAACAGATATAGCAGACGAATTAAGCGAGTTATGACGCATAACCTACACAAACACAGAACGAATACATATTGAATCACACACCTGAAATTCTTTAACTTAATTCTTGTCTTATCTTGGTGTGTTTCTAATCCTCATTATTATGTCTTAATTAGGACTTAGGAATGCCTAGGATGCAATGAGAATGCCAAAATGCACTTTGTAATACTTAGCAAAATTTGCTGAAAATAGGGTCTTCGCTCAAGCACAACTTCCTTCGCTCGAGCGGGGGTTCAAAAATAAAAATGGTCGCTTGAGCACAACTTCAGTCGTTCGAGTGGTCTGTAAACTCTGCAAAAGTACTGGTTGTATGAATTTTCCGCTCGAGCGTGAGACTGAGGTTTTCGCTCGAGCAGAACTCTGGTCGCTCGAGCGGTCTGCAAAATTTGTAAACTTCTAGGAGCATGAATTTTACGTTCGAGCCAACTTTTTGTCGCTTGAGCAAAAGTAGAAAATCAAGAATGGTTGCTCGAGCATAGAATCTGTCACTCGAGCGGTGAGGCAGAATTCTAGAATTTCTAGATTTGCTCCCAACCTTCAAAACTCGAATTCAAATGTTCAAAACAAGTTCTTTAGGACCAAAAGCTTAAGGAAACACGTGTAAACTTGTAAAACATTGTGAATTCAAAATCATTTCGCAAAATCAAAACCCAAAAGCATGCCAATAATTCAAATTAAGCTTGAAACTTTGAAAACATAACACATATGCATTCTCTTGAATTCAAACTTTTCAAATCTTGGCAAAATGAGATGTTCAGTACAAAAAGGAGTTGAATTCTCATAACAAGTCTAAAATATGAACATGCATGTAGGAAAACCTTGAAAACAACTTCCAAAACACCATGAAATGCACATGCATGCATGGTATGACTTATACTAGCTCAATTCTCATACTTAGTCACAAGAACTTCTTGAATTCTCTTTATTAACAACTTAAATACAAATATTAGGAATCAATCACTCACCTAAGATCCTCAATTGAGTTCTAGATTGCCATGTCTTTGAGCTTCCAAGTCAATTTCCTCAATTTCCTTTAAATTGCTAGCAATTCCTTGTTAAATTCAAGTGTCTCCCTTCCTTCCTTTCTTTCCCGTTTATGTCATCAGGGTAATGAAATGTGCATATGTGTGTGCATTCTAAAATCATATGGGCCTTTTATAGGCTTGATTAGGAACCTTCCTTAGTTATTAATTAAATAACATTATTTATTCTAATTATTTAGTTCCGAATCAAATTTAAATTGAACCTACCATAAAATTCTAAATAGTCCAAATAACACATAACCTAAATCAATTTCGTGATCAAATGTTGATAAGGCCTTCAATTCACATAATAGAACAGAAACACAAACAAATATTTCTACGACAAACAAATACAAATGCAAATAACATATAATACATGCAATTAACACATGATTTCCTCTTAATTACTTATTAGACATCCTTAATCATGGTTTAACAGTTAATCACAGGTTGGGGTTGTTACAGTCTTCCCCCTTAAAGAGTTTGGTCCTTTAAACTCAAATTACCTTCGTTTTGGTAGAATATCGGATCCAAAGGGAACAAGTCAAGATATCTCTCCATCATGTCTTCTTCGATTTCCCACGTTGCATAGGTTCCTCCGTGGTTTTGCCAATCAACTTTCACTAATGGAATTTCTTTATTTCTCAATCTTTTGATTTGGCGATTCACGATTTGTATTGGTCGTTCCTCATAGGTATAATCATCTTTCAGAAGCACATGGGTTAGCTCAATCACATGTAACGGATCTCTCAA